TGGGGGTTGCGGTGCTCCTCCCTGCCACTGGCCTGGCGTCCTGGCCGGGCAGAGGGTGCTCTCCAGACGCCTCGCCGCTCAGCGGTGCTGCTGTGAGCGGGGAGACACGAGGGCTCTCAGCAATAAGGTGCTCAGGACCCGGGCTTGTTCTTGTCTTCCTGGTTTTCTTTCCCCAGTACCTGATCTTAAAATCAGCGTGGGAAAACATGAGAGACACAAACCAGTGGCTTCTTGGAGCAAGAAGCCGAATTCTGTCTTTTTCTATGCAGCGTGAGACGTTCTCCAAGAGCAACTTCGTTAAAAACCGAGTAAGGTTTTGCAGAAATACTGCTCGCTGTACTAATTACATCTAATTGTGAAAAGGCTCATCGTCCCTGACAACGGGCTGATGTCCTCCTGACGCTGCCAGCATGGCGCGGTCGTCGTTACACTCTTTATTTCCCAATGAGCACTGGGGACCTTCAGCGTGATGATATGAACCTTTAATTATTAATGAAAACAAGCAATTTGTCTATGATCTGAGTTTGACAATCCATAAAATAGTGTTTCTCAAATGACAAATTAGCAATTTGGTTACAAAGAACAAAGTTTAAACAACACAACAGTTGTATGCACAAAGCTACCACGTCTTTTTTTTTTTTTTTTTTTAAATCAGGAAAAAAATTTATTTATAAAATGTCTCATTTAACTTACTGTCAAGTCTCTAGCTGAATACAGTGGTTTAGAACACTACCGGCCCATGCTTTTATACAGATTAGCTAAAGCATGAACATTGATGAAAATTAACCCCCAAAAAGAACTTTGCTTCATGTTATGAGCCACAACAGTGTTAAAACTGGAACAGTAATGAAAGCAACACAAGAGTTAGGAAGCACAGTTGCTTAAAGAGTAAAAGAAGTGTTTTCTTTTGATGTCTCAGAATAATAAGAAAGTTAGAAATGGCAGAAACTCCTCTGTAGATTAGTCCATAGAAAGCATTGTCTCATGGGGCTTTGGGAAAGTCCTGTCTGGTGGCTAATGCACTAGGGCATGGTGAGATACATTACAGAGCCCCCAGGCCAGTGACTTCTGAAGACAGCCTAAAATGTAGGAACAAAAACGAGGAAAAGAAAAGGAAAGGAAAAAAAAAAAAAGGCAAAAAAAAAGAAAAAAAAAATCTTCTCACTATTAAAAAAATAACAGTTGAGTACAACCAGCACAGAACAGCATTTCAACGCAGGCAAGTTTTCTCACACAGAGCTTGGTGGTTTGGTTTGTCTTTTTTTTTTTGAAACGTCAGTTATTGAAACGGTTACAGCAGTCCAGAACAATTTTACAGCAGTTTTCTAGAGCTGTTAAATAGCTGAGGTACCTTGACATTATTTCCAGTTTTTCCTTCATTATATACAAACAAAAAGAAAAAAGCGCCCAAACAAAAAAAAAAAAAAAAAAAAAAAGGAACCAAAACCCCAAACAAGCAACAAAAGCGAGGGAAACCCCGCTTGGACGGGCGCAGACTGTGACAATGACGGTTCTACCAAGGGTTACAGCGACAAAACTCAGTGCGAGGGTACGACGGTGAGGAACAGCCCACAGAATACAGAAATGACACAAAATACTGCGAGAGTACTTAGCCCTGTACAATAACACACTTTTGAAATACCATGTTTTAAAAAGTATTGCATTTGCATCGTGTTTTTAGTTTATATTAAAATGCACTGAATACAAGTTCGATTGTTAAAGCTTTGTGTCCAAGGAGTGCAGAGTGGATGAACATGGCGGGCTAATGGGACTCTGGGTTTGGAAGTGGTGAGGAAAACAATATTGCATTACGGAGTTATGCAACAGAAATGAAAAAGAAGGTGGATGGACAAACAGAAAATGCGGTTAAAAACTAGTTCCAACAGCTAGCCACCAGCCATCACATCACCCAGCTCTCTTCGGTTCGGCTGCCGTGAGGGGTCTGGTTTTAGTTCACCTGGACACGGTGAAGTTCTTGTTAAAGGGCTGTTACCTGTCTGGGCAGCAGCCCTTGAACGCCCTGTGGTGAGCACTGGAGCTCACCCGCAGCTACCACCCC